CATGAAGAGAGGTCGCCGATGGTGTTGACAGTCATGTACATTGGTCTTCGTGAGCCGAAGTGATCCTGTTGCGTGAACCAGCTGTAGAGTAGGATTGTATGGTAGAGTAGGCTGGGCGATGTGCGCCAGACAGAGAGAGTGACTCTGGATACTGTGTTGGTGTGGCCTACAGGCTTGGACATTGGCTCAATGCTTCATTGTATTGCTCTTTATGGATGGTTTTCTCGGTGCATTTGTACTCTCTCCCTGGGATAGTTTTGCAAGTTCAGTAGGTCTCCCAACCTCCCTTGAAGTCCGAAATGATCAATGAGAGCAAAAAAAAATTCGACTTCAGACTGCAAATGACTGATAGAACTGACTAACAAAATCCTAGAACTGCGAAAAAAAAATTCCGAAAAGAAATGACAATATTCGGATTTACTCAGATAAGAGTATTCGCAGTTTGGAAAATAATACCACAGGAGGGATTTCCCGTACCGTTTTCAGAAAAACGAAATTCGAGAAAGAAGATATTCCGAATTTCTAAGTAACGGGAAATGCAACAGGAAATCGAAATTTTCGCAAAGAAGGATATTCCGGATTTTCAACAACGAAATTTCGAAATTTCAGAAGGAAAACGAAAATGGAAATTTCAGATGTTGCGCTATTACGATTTTCTACAACAGAAATAACGAGAAAACAAAACCCAAGGAAAGAAAAAAAAAAATCGATTTTCGGCAGTAAGGTCAAAATGGTGACTTTGGGGCTATCTAGTGCGCTATAATCAATCAATAAAGACTAATCAGCTACTTGGTCCCCGCACACGTGTCAGATCAGGTTGTCCTGATTCACGTGCGGTGCACCGATACCAACTGTTACATGCCCAGTTGGGCGATGTACATAGAAACCGAGGATCCGCAATGTGATAAAAAGGACTGAATGGACAATGCAGTGCAAGTAGAATCTCAACAAGCAATGTGCATTCTAATACATACAAAATGGTGCTGAATAGCGCAGGGAAGACTTAGATACAAAGCCTGCCGTGACCGGGACTGACCTCATTCACATAGTATCAGATAGTGAAACAGAATGCTAGAATGCTAATGACTAGCCCAATGAATGTTTGAACGCAGACCAAACATACATCGTATCCATCACCAGGTGTGAAGGAGCCTGGCGCTGTAYACAGGAARAAAGCGCCAGGTCCAGACATACACAGACGAAGAGGAGGGAATCAGACGAAAGGAGGGAGAGAGATGGGAATGTCGTCAACACCAAGTCTTTGTCACAAGTCCCAAATAATCCCTCGTTGCAATGTCTGAAGTCCAAAAGTCGAGTCTGGATCCGATGTCACCAAGCTCTTTCTCTCTTCTGTCGTAGTCTGCAGATGCAGTGAAGTCAGATGATGAGAGAGGGAGAAGGAGATGGGGGACTGAGAAGAGGAAGAAGAAGAACTCTCTCTCTGTTACGAGCCAGATACTAACCTGTGATGTTGGCGCTGTGCTGCAGGTACCTCGAAGACGAAGCTGGAGCAACGGCGCTGCAGGTAAGTACCTCTG